TTCTAAAGATCGAGGTGAAGACGATCACAGCGAAATTTAACTAAGGTCACGAACGGGAAAGCCTTACCTTCAAGGGACAAATTTCCTGCTCAGACGGACCCACTTGACGGATCTGTTCCCTCATTGCTTGCCTGAGATCACGATAGCTTAAAGAAAAACTTCTGGGACGCGCTTGTCGATACAGGCCAGCGGTCGTGTCTATAACATATTTCGGATCAGTCATGGCGGCGACTCGTAGCAGTTGTCGGCAACAAAGCCGCTCCTATGGATCCAGAATTCTCGTTGCTGAATGCAATCAGACGCAACGGGAGCAAATCCGGGCATACCTTCATAGTTTCTATACTGAGTCGGATGATGTAAAAGAAGTTGCCGCAGAGGCAATCAAAACTTTAGCTGCAGAAGTGGCAAGAGCGACGAAAGTCGTTGCCGAAGGCAATGGAACCTCACTCACAGAGGCGCCGCGAGCGACTGAAGGCGTAGCCGACGACAATTACCCTCACTCGCAGAGGTGTCACGAATGAACGAATGCGGGGCCGAAGTTGAAGAACCTTCACTTACTTCATTTTTATTAACAAAGGATGGTTCGGCTAAAAAAGATGGACCATAGCTCACAGCGTTTTCACTAACAACAAAAGGTGTCGTAGAGGGCGACCTTCTGCAAGACGAACCTCATCAACATTAAGGGTAGGCGTGATTGATGGTGACGAGGTGAGTGATGCCGCTGCCGGGTGAGGCGACGTGTCACGTGTTGCAGTCGAGTCTTAGAGTTCAGGACAAGGCGGGTAAGACGGAGACATCATAATTGACAAAGTGGTGGAAAGCGTAGAGTGAAATTTGAAACATTAAAAGCCATACATATAAAATTTGCTTTTTGTGCAGGGGAAGATTGTTAAAAAACCAGATGTGGATCGGAAGGATGAAGCCTTGGATCCCAGATATGTATCAAGCGGTATCCGGATAGCAAATTGTTCGATAATGGCCATTTCTATTGACGTTATCCCAGACTGTGGTAAGAAAATGGATGTATACAGACACGAACCAGACCGCGGTCATTAGGATACTGCCAGGAGACCGCAATCAAGGGACCGCGATCAGGGGGCCGCGATCAAGGGACCACGATCAGGGGACCGTGATTAAGGGGCCAGGATCACGTACTACTTTTTGGTTTGGGCCACCTAAATTGGAAGGATTGTAAATTTTTCGGCTAGGGGCGACACGTGACAGCATATCCGGGCCTACAGAGTAGGCAATGTCACAGTCATAGTCTTTGGATGGTTTCATTGTATAGAGATTAGTTTGCTTCTAAACACATACGTGTCATTCTTTTTACATCCAAGATATTTAGCCTCCCGACGTCAGAGAACTTCGACAGCGATAAACTGAAGATCACTTCCAGTGCTATTCTTTTTGACCAGGAGTGCAAGGACTCTGCGATCAGACACAAAAAAATCTTCTGGTTCAAGTCAAAAGACCTCGGGACGGCTCAAGTGGTCAGAAACTCGTGACTCAAGTACATAATCCATGGCACATGGCGATCAAGGTAAATCGCGGTGACTATGAAAGAGTGACAGGAAAAAACACGCAATCGGATGAGGAAATTTCGCTCGATCTACACCAAATTCTACATATGTCGAGTTCATGATTGATTCAAGTGTCCTTGAAATAGTGCAGCCTGCCCTACCGATTGGTACACAAGGTGAAAAGTAACAAATGCAAGCGGACCGGAGTTATTTCTCCGTTAGTTGGTCGTCTGGGCACCAGTGGAGAGTTGGGAATACGTCATAAGATTAGTGGAACCCACTACACCACATAACCATCTTCATGGAGGGCCTTTGTATAGGCGTTTCTCCAATAAATAATTTCCGGATATGCCTCCCCTTATCTACGGCAGCTGTGAAAATGTTTTTGAAGGCTAAGACCGACTTTAAGGCAGACTGTTTCGGTACTCATGAGAACAACCTGAACTCGGCGAATTCCATTAGTTCATTCAAAAGGCCGGAGCCTGTTTACCTCAATATCTCCAGGACGAACGATTAGGCAGAGCTTAAGTCTAATGCATCATCGAAACGTTCGATGACGTTTCACGTGCGGAAGCACAAAGCATCTGCAACTCTGTTGCCCTTTTCACATGAAACTCCAGGCTAATTCAGGCCGAACTCCCGCTACTAACCAGAAATTACATTAAGTTGCGGTAAAATGTAGAATTTTGTGGTGGGGTGGCGATCGCTCATTTTAAAAGGCGAGCCCGACTCTCTACAGGTGCCCAGACGACCGACTATCGGAGAAAGTGCTCCGTTTTTGTGTTCTGTGTTTCCTCCTCACTTTGTATACCCGTCGGTGGGGCGGGCTGCACTCTTCTCGGTGGACTCTTGTCGATAGAAAACTTGACCGTGTTGGGAATGGATTTTTGATCGCGCGGAAAGCTTCACATGATCACGGGTATACTTAGAAGGCTACTTGATGTAAGCTACCCAGGTCTCGACGAGATCGCCTTGTCCAATGTGTGCACGCTAGATACGAGATCCTTCTGACCACTCGAGCAATCTCGCGATCATTCGCCTTGTCCTTTACGTTCTTGCTGCGTCTAATCGCAGTTAGGGGAGGTGATAATTCTTGATATTTAACCGATTATCCGGAGATATTACTTGCTATCAGTACAGGCGACTTTCTTGACGTCGGGATGCCAAAATTTCAGACCAGAAGAAAAGTCAACATGTGTACTCAGAAGAGATTAAGATTCTACTCAAAGCCATCCAGCTAAAATCTAAAACTACGAATGTGCCTGTAAATAAGTCAGAATACGTTGCCACGAGTCCTCTACATTTCGTTGATCGTTCCTTCGCCTGCGTGGTCCAACCTGGATAGATCATTTATCTCCCCGACCGATCGTCGATCTCCTTGACCGATTACCGATCTCCTTGGGTGATCGTCGACCACTCTTTAGGACCGTGAACTCTGCCGAAATGTCGGTCATCTTCCTTAACTTTAACCCGTTCGTGCGTTCCCGATTTATTTTCTTGACTCGATTTTGGCACCTTGTTATTCGATCCCGCTGGTGAATTTTTGATCGCGATATTGCGATATTTACTCTCGGTATCGCAAGTATTTGATCTTGATTTTGCGATTATTGGTCTTGTTACTACGCAGCTTAACATCAAATCGATCTTTTTAGACAAATGTTCGCGCTTTGAGACCACTCCACCCAACGATATTACCTAAGTCTTCTATTTGCTTTACCGCACTTTTAGTAGACGCGGTGCGCCCTATTGGGGATTAATTAGGTTCTGTTGAGCCTCTAGGGTGTAGTGGCGAGCAGAATTTAGCCCCAAGGAGTCCTGTGTGTTGTAGTACGGGAAGAGAATGCAAGCCTGGCTTGTTAGTCGAAAAGTGATGGTTAAGGGCTTTGACAAACCCTGGTCGATTTTAAAAGACTCCGGAGAATCCGGCCTTCGTTTCATGCACTGTTACCCTAGAGATGATCCACATTTTGTCGAGGCGCTACAAGCTCACAAGGGTGCTAAGATCACTGTTCACTTAGAGGGAGAGAATTTAGTCACGGCACCTAAAATCTCTGTAAACTCGGGTGTGAGGTCTTTTGATTTTAATAGCATCGAACGCTTTTTGTCCTTGATTTGAATTCGAGACTTGATCTCATTCTTGGTGTGGCTTGACTTGAGTGCCATGAGCCATTTATCGACTGGATATTGATACACTAGGAGCCACGCGCACTACCCCTAGAATAGCTTTAAGGAGTCATGAAACCACCTCTGCTAATAATCGAAGACGTTATTGGCGCGAGTCAGCGAATGACAATGTCAGGGTGCTAAACTTCTAAATTTCGGAGTCAGTTGGTTCTGAAGATGTCAAAGACGTGAGTATAAGACAAAGCTCTGTAAGTGATAGTAAAATGGCTAGTACTCCGCCAATTGACAGTCGTCGCGAGAGCAACTTGCTGAATGCTGAAATCATTTGAGGTGGAGTTGGGTTTGCGCATTTTATGAGGCGATCCTGACTCTCCACTGGCGCCCAGACAACCGACTAACGTAGGAGGTACTCCGATTCTGCTTGCACTTATTTCCTCCTCACCTTTGTTCCCGTCGGCTGGGCGGGTTGCACTCTTTTAGGTGGACTTGACTCGATGCTGAACTTGACCGTTTTAGGGATTGGTGTCGATCTAGTGGAAATTCCTCACCCTATCGTGTGTTCTTGATTGGCGATCAATTAGAGTCGCTGTGATCATTCTTGATCGCCTTGTGCCAAAACTTGGGCACTTGAGTCGCGAGCCTTCTGACCACTTGAGTCATCTAGCAATCTTGTACTACAACCAGTAATGTTGCTTGCGTCCTATTGCAGTTGAGGTGTGTTGAGGGTGCTTGCACTCCTTGTCAAATTGACCCAGGAGTGACCTTACTGCCCTTGGTGTCGAAGTACTCTGACGTCGGGAGGCCTTAAAATATCCAACCAAGAAGGAGGTCGATGCGTATGTGTTTAGAAGCAAATTGAACTCTGTTTAGTGTTATCCAACCAAAACCCAAAACTATAACCACGCCAACTCCGCAAGTCAGGATTTACCGCCACGTTTTTTTTCTATGCCGAATGGATTTTTGCAATCCTTCTATATCACGTGGCCCACGCCTGATCGCGGTCCTCGTTTCGCGGCCCCTCAGTAGTGTTTTCTTGTAATTTCTACAGTCCGGTACCGTGTAGCCAACTACTCGCTTCTTCTTACCGTCTTCCTCTGCACGTACCAGTGTACGTGAAGTTCCGAGGCACCGCCTTATTCTGTCATCAGAATAAGTATCTTGCACTGTCATCAGCACAAGCTTGAGGGTTCCCCGTCACACCTGGTAGCACTTCGTAGTCCGTCCAAGGACCACGTTCACATCTAACATGAATATGTTGGATGATGATGAAGATGACCAAAGCTTTCACACTACGTGTGACGGCTACTCCCATTTTAGCAATGTCGAATGGGATGCGGTTAACGGACGGGTTCAACCATGGGCATCCATGCTGTTAGCGTCATGCTAGAGGCTCTCAATAGAGATGCCCAACATGCTACTATCGCCAAGTTCATTCGAAATGAACTTGACGCTGAACGCGAGAAAGTAGCCTTGCTTCACCAACAAGGCTCTCAACAATCAGAGTTGTTGAGAGAGCAGGGTGCTCAACAGTTTGAACTGTTGAGACAGCAACAGGCTGCTGCTGGTGGTTCGATGCATTCGCGTCGACCCGAAACCTTGAAGATTGACATCTCCAAGTATAGGGGAGTCGAAGAGGAATCCCTCTTGAGATGGTTTGTCAAATTGGATGACGCCATAAGGGCGCGTCGCATCGACTACGGGGATATGCAAGTTGCATTTGCCCAGTCAAATCTGGCAGAAAATGCCAAGACTTGGGCTTTGGGGCTCAAGTTGCACGACCCATATGCGTTTGGGTCGTTGGAAGTCTTCAAGTCGCGGCTCAGACAAACGTTTGAACCGCCTAGAGCTGAGTTCAGAGCTCGAACCGAACTCTTGAAGCTCAAGCAGGGTAAATGTGATGTGCACGCTTACGCGCAACATATACGACATCTTACGAGTTGTATAAGTTCCAATCCGGTGGATGAACACACGTTGGTTTCGGTGTTCATGCAGGGTCTTGCGGATGGTCCCGTCAAGACTCACCTGTTCCGGCTTGAACTAGATTCACTAGAACAAGCCATTTCCATTGCGGAACAGGAAGACTCAGTCTGAGACAGGCTCGCGCCAGCTCGACATCGTATCTTCTACCAAGACGAAATGACAGCGGAGGTCCAGAGCCGATGGAACTCTGTTATGTAGAGAGCGAGAAGGCTCTCTCTACAGGCTACAAGAAGTTGCAGAGATGCAACAGATGTCAGAAGACAGGACATTACGCTTACGAGTGTAGTGCCCCTCGTCCAGTGTCTCGCGACACTGGGCGTAGTGACCGTCCACCCATGAGAAAGGGGCAGGGACGAGGGTCCGCAGTTGATGCAAAGACGCAACAACGGGATGGACCGTCAAAAAAACGGACAGGATCAGTAGGTGCGGAGCACCCTACTGGTCCAGCAACGTCAAGAGAATTTGTAGGCCTCTTGATGAAGGTTGCTCCCAACACACAAACGTTGTGCGTTGCTTCTCTATTAATGAGGTCTCACTCATTACCTTGAAACTCGAAGTGACGAATAAGTTGTCCCTTCGAGCTCTAGTCGGTTGTGGGGCGTCCAACAATTTTGTGCGACGCCAATCGCTAGAAGATGGTCACTTTAAATTCAGTGAATGTGACACACCTCCTACGAGGATGACGGTACGTCTTGCGACAGGCGCTACCGTAACCGTCATGAAGCGTATAGTGAAGATCCACTATACGCTAGAAGATACCCAATATGACGATGACTTTATCGTATTGGATTTGGATGACAGATTTGATGTCATCCTTGGAATACCTTGGCTCAGAAGGTACGAACCACGGGTAAACTGGCAACATCGAACAGTAACGATGTCTGCCGCTTGTTCATCAGATGGCCATCTGATGAACGTTTTGGAGCGTCCACAAGCGTGTGGATGTACTACGAGTGAGTGCGATGGCCTCACTTGTGGCACGGTCATTAGTAAGACTGCACGAAACCTTAGTGTAACAAACGGTTACACTTCGGAGCAAAGTTCCGGCGGCTGTGAGGAAACACAGGCTGCGCCGAAGTTCCACCACTCGAATAAGTCGGGTGGACTGGGACAAAGATGTATCGCTAGCGGGGAACATCTAGAAGAGAAACGATCGATCGCTCAGGTTAAGCGAAACGATAATCCTAGATCGACTGGAGAGCCTTTCGTAGAGGATATCGCTGTGGTTGCGCAACCCCAGATAGAGGAAGTAAAGGGAATAAGTCCCAATAGTACAAATACGGCGGAAATAAGTTCCCCGAAACCCGCGGGAATAAGTCCCCGGGAAGACGAAGGAATAAGTCCTTCGAAGCCTGAGGGATTAAGTCCCCAGGAAATGACAGAGACATTGAATGTCATAGTCAATAACGGATCAAGTGTAGGCGCTTATGCACTTGTTCTGATTGCGCATCCGAAGTTGACTTCGGAGATCACTCAGTTGCCAACGCTCGAACATAAAAGGCTCTTGCGTGATCTGCGTAGTGGCAAAGTCAAGCAGATCTGCGTACTCGTTGCTGACGACGAGTGTGTAGCCGACATAAGGTCAGCAGCAGTGTTTACTGAGAACGAGAGGGTGATCGGTAGTTCATCTATGGACGAGAGTGTCCTAGATGAAAAGACACGATACGACTCCCAATCGTGGGAATCGCTCAAGACAAATCCTCTCTATGAAGATTTGGTTGAATTCAAGGATGTATTCCCTGAAACTGTCCGTGCGAATTACCGAAGGATAAAGGTATTCGACACGAGATCGAGCTTAAACCAGGCTAGAAGTACTGTGTCATGAAGCAGTGGTCACTGCCTCGTGAACAAGTACTTGCGATCGACAAGTTCTTTGCCGATCGTTTAGCTGCGGGCCATGTGAGGAAATCGACTTCCCCACATAGCTCTCCGACCTTTTGTGTGCGAAAAGCAACAGGAGGGTGGCGGATAGTGCATGTATTTAACAAGTTGAATGCTGCAACGGTACCGGCTCAGACGCCGATACCAAGGAAGGACGTAATCATTGATGGTATGTCAAAGAGTACCATCTTTCCGTCCACGGATTTGATGGATGGCTTCTATCAAATTCTTATGCGAGAACGGGATATACCCTAAACCGCAGTTAGCACGCCTAGCGGCATGCTCTGGGAATGGCTAGTAATGCCACAAGGGCTTAGTAATGCCCCTGCCACGTTCAACAGATGTGTATCACATCTGTTGAGACCAGTACGAGAATTCGCGCCGAGTTATTTCGATGACGTATTCATCCATAGTCGGACTATGGATGGAAAGTTAGATGTCGAGGTTCACAGGTACCACTTCCGACAGGTTCTTACAATCATGCGAAAGCATCAATTGTAGTCCAACCTCAAGAAGTGTATATTTGCAGCAAGCGAAATACCACTTCTTGGGTGCATCGTTGGTAAGAACGGTGTACGTCCTGATCCCGAAAAAATCAAGGCGATCACCGACTGGCCTGTGCCGGTTGATGTCAAAGGTGTTCGAAAATTCCTTGGGCTAGCGGCGTATTTGCACAAGTATTCACGCAATTACGCCGATATGACTGTACAGCTCTCTCGTTTGTTGAAAAAGAACGAGAGGTGGTTATGGAACGCTGAATGCCAGCGCTCCTTTAATGGTATCAGGTAGAGCTTGATACAATCCCCAGTCCTAGCAATTGCCGATCAGGACAGGCCATTGCATGTGGTCTGTGATGCCAGCGATTTCGCAATCGGCTGTGCATTAATGCAGTACGACCTTGAAGGCGTTGAACGCGTCGTCTGCTAGCAGTCGCGTCAGCTGCAACCAGCTGAGCGGAACTATCCAGTGCATGACAAGGAACTCCTTGCCATGAAGTATGCACTCGCGAAGTTCAGAGTCTATCTATTAGGAGATAGACCCTTCATTGTTTACACTGACCATGCGTCATTACGCACGGCAGTGAACAGCCCGCACCTTTCACAACGAATGGCGCGGTGGTTTTCATTCTTTGCGGAATACAACTTTACGGTCGAGTACAAACCAGGACGACTTAATGTCGTCGCTGATGCACTCTCACGTCGTCCCGACTTTGAACCAGTCGTGAAACCCAACATTGAGACAGTCACCGTTGCGGTGATGACGTCCTCAGTACCATCTACAACGTTGCACGATGATGTGAGGCGGGCATATGCCCAAGATGGTGAGATTGTGAAGTTGTTGACACATCTCTCACAGCCATCTCGAGAATCGTTGAAACGATTGTCGTCTGCGTATCGATCTGCATCAGATCGATACACTGCTCACAACGGTTTACTGTATTATACAGCCGTTTTTGGTGACACACCACGTGTTGTCATTCCAGATGATACTGATCTGCGTTTGCGGATCATGTTCGAGTATCACGATGCTCCTGTAAGGGGACATCGTGGCCGGGAGAAAACATATATCACGGTGAGTCGAGACTTTTACTGGCCCCGCCAGTATCAGTTTGTGCGAAAGTATGTTTGCGCATGCGAAGTCTGTCAACGAGTGAAGTCAAGTCCTTCACTGTGTGCACCTTTACAGCCTCTACCGGTTCCGGCTGAGGGCTGGAATCCATCTTAATGGATTTTGTCTTTGGGTTACCCAAAGACGCACGCGGGAATACGGTTATTCTCGTATTTGTTGACAGATTCAGCAAAATGGTACACTTAGTGGCTGTACCAGAGTCAATCACGGCAAGTGGCTGTGCTTGTGTCTTTATCGACACCATCTTCCGACTTCATGGGTTGCCTTGTGAACTCGTATCAGACAGAGATCCACGCTTCACTGCTGATTTCTGGCGTTCCGTGTTCAAATCACTCGGAACGCGCTTGAAGATGTCGACATCTGATCATCCAGAGTCAGATGGTCAGACGGAACGAGCCAATCGTGTCCTTGAAGAGATACTTCGAGGATACGTACACTCCTTTAAGAGTTGGAGTGAGTTTTTTTTCAATGGTAGAGTTTGCCATTGACAACTCGATGCATGCGTCCACGACACATACACCGTTTTACGTGAATGGCTTACGCCATCCGCGTGTACCCACCTTACTATATTGTAACTCTGGTTTAACGGGGGGAGAGACTCGCGCGAGCAAAAATCGATTTGGATCACGCTCACCACGCTTTGACGAAGAGGTCATTGCGTTTGATGCCGATATCGATAACATCGGTATCGAAGAAGATGATGCCAGTGAGAGCGCGGAAGCCCTCACTGAAGAAAGATTGATGTTGCTGCAGTGCACTCACAGCGCACTGAAGCTAACGAGTCATCAAATGAGTTCATACTGGCTCATGAAACGGTAGTCCGTTTTGTGCAAGACTCCATCGCCGGAGTGGTGGATAAGCAAAAGCAAGACGCTGACAAGAATGGAAGGGCAAACACTCTTTTATTTAATAAAGGTGACTTAGTCCTACTGTCTACGGTTAATCTACCAAAGCATGTAGTGACTAACTTGGGTAGCAGTAAACTACTACCCAAGTACATCGGCCCATTTCGTGTATTGCACCGCCTAGGCAATGCATACACGATCGAGTTACCACGTAAGATGCGAACGCATCCCACGTTTTACGTTGGTCGGCTTAAGCCGTACCATCAGTACGCCGCTTCTTCCGATTGAGAACGCCCTTGCGCTCAAGCATCTCGCAGAGAGCCTTGTGCTCCCGATGGTGGGCATCGACAAGGGTCTGAAGAGCAGTTATCTCAGCCCGAGACCGACCAACATCCCCACGAGCTACCCTTAGCTCGTCACGCAGAGACTTCAGAGCTCTCTCGTTCTCAAGCTGAGCAAAGGCAAACTCGGCTCGATGCCTCGGGACAGTGTCCGCCAGTTGGAGACGCCTGTCCCGCTCATGTTCGAGATCGCCGCGTAGCCCTTGCGTTACGCGATCAAAGAAGCTCTCGGGAACACACGGATCCCCACGATTGTGTGGAGAGCGTCTTTCCTCCTCTTCCACCTCCATTTAAGGTCTCTCGCGGTGGCCAGCGCTATCTAGTTGAGCAGCTGTTGAACCACCGCGACGTGAACGGACGTCGGACGAGTTATCTCGTCTGGTGGCGCGGTTATTCCCGTCCTGGGATTCTTGGGAGCCCCGCTCCCAACTGATGATTGACGTACTGGGTCTGGTCGAGCAATACGATGCGGCACATCGTGTTCAGCAGAAGGACCGCCGGAGAAAGTCTTCCCGGCACGGTCGTAAAGGGATTTCAGGTTGTCAATCCCTTCGTACATCTCACTAGAGATACGTACGCGCCACCACGGGCTAGTAAGGAGGTAAGCCTCCTTAGGTGCGCGCGCAGAGTTGTTCACACAACATGGGCACGAGTCTCCCCAAAAGAGGCAGGGTAATCCATTCTCCTTTTACAGAAGATGCAGCTTGTAGCGTGCACCTGTCGGGGTTCGCTTTTTAAACTTTTCACGATCTTTGATAAGTTTGTCGTTCCAAGCGTCACGACCTACATCCTCAAGGTTATGGATGTAGGCGTTCCACGCTTGAAGTAGTGAGGGACCATCACGCTTGTGATTCCCACTGTACCATCGATGTTTGAAGAAAGCATCGATGAAGAATTCATTCTCAGCGCGATAGTTTTTCGAGCTTGGGTCAAGGTGATGGATCCTTGACGAATCGAACAACCGTGTTCGATAACGATCACTCGTCGTCGCCGACAAGTGATCCATGACAGATTCAGGAGGCATCCATGCCTTCTTTTCTGGAGCGAGACGCAACACGCTGCGGTCCCGCTCTTCCTGCGACGTGCCGACAGAAGGACTGGCACTTCGCTGCGAAGTGGTGTCAATAGGAGAACCGACACCACTATTAGCGCCCGAGTCTCGCGACCTCGAGCGCCTTCGCTTCGGCGATGGTTCATCTGATTCATCAGATGAACCAAAGATGCTACGACGCATAGCATCATCCATGCCACGCTTGGCAGGCGGCTTGGATTCGATCGCCGTCGATACGGATCCGTCTTCCGTATCAGGAGAGTACAAGACTCCGAGCTCATACTCTGTGAAGATATGAGTGTCTTCATGACCAGCGCCTGCATCACCAAGTGATACAGGCTGAGTCGCTTCAGCAACCGATAATACATCCGTTGCTGTGGTTTCTGCTTCGGCGTCCGCACAGAGACGTGCGGACGCGCTCTAGGCGGCCTTGCTCGCGCATCGCATGGGCTTGTTAACCATGGGATGAGATGTTGAAAAGTGGACTCGGACCAACAAGTGCAGACCCTGTCCCAAATGATTTGGGACGAGTATCCATTTAGTCAATCAGTCACTAAAGTGACCGATGGTTAAGGGGGGTGATGTAACGGGGTGAATCGTTACATAACAATTTAAAAGAAATTGTTCATAGAATATAACTATAAGAGTTATATTCTCAGAATATTGTCATAAGGACAAATATTCTGTAGCACTTACGAGTAGTTCCTAATTGGTTGATATAGGCCATTCTATCAACCAACGAAGACGCGCCACGACAGACGCACGCAATGAGTGGTGAGCAGATAGTTGATACGCACATTTGTATTTAGACATAGTTAGATGAGGATCAACAGTGGACCTATTAACAGACATTAACTATGATAAATACAGTTCTACTTTTTACTTTAACCGACTACTCGCTTCTTCTTACCGTCTTCCTCTGCACGTACCAGTGTACGTGAAGTTTCGAGGCACCGCCTTATTCTTTCATCAGAATAAGTAGCTTGTACCGTTACCAGTACAAGCTTCAGGGTTCCCCATTACATCTGTCGTCTACTGTTCAAGTAGCACTTGGCCAATCTCCCGTCAGCATTCGATTTCGCTATTTTACTGCCCACTAATCACCACTAGTGATTTTGTGCGACAACACCAGCGATGAAAGCGTCGACGAGTAGCAGCAAACTTAAAGGACATTCGAAGTAGGTCATACGCTCGTAGAAGCGATACCATTCAAGCAATACCGTGAGCTCAATCGAACGTGCCACTGTCAATTACTTGCAATATTAAGCGATGATCGACTTGATAAAAGTGGCGTACAGATCACACGGATCTATTTTTGCCGTGCAGTACTGCGTAACACAGCCACGTATTTTGTCGACTCGTAGAAGTCATCGACATTTGTAATCGCCTATTTGAGAGAGAATCGAGGATCAAATTATTGCCGAACCTGCTGATAGATTTCCATGCAACAGGTGTGTGCAAAGACTCCAATAATTTTAGGAAGGAAGGCGCCCAAAGAAAAAGCGGGGTCCTGATAGAACGTATCACTAAAAAAATTGAAAAGTGCCGAACCAGACGAACGAAACATTGCATCGTTTTGTTCATGACAGTAGTATCCGTCTAAAGCATGGTGGGTTATTTGTTGTAAATTTGTTGTTTCTACTTCAGCGTACATTGGTCTGAGGTTTTCGTTCACACCTGGGTTGCCTCGCTGAACACATCTACGAAAAAAATAATTGGCAATGTGGACGTGGACTGGCAAGTGTTTACGTGTCTTTGCACCAACACTTAAACGAAAGTGATATGGACTGCGTAAAATCGTTCGTAAGGTCTCATAAATTTGTATTGTCATGCAATCGTACGTTTGGTACACATCATTGGGTACCCTTTTTTCTGTCGCGTTCGTACGTGTAGCAGGCATTATGGATTTGTTTTCTGTCACATTCGTAAGCTTAGTACACATCGCTAAACGTTTAAAGGTTTCTGATCTTAAAGTATTCTTTTATAATACGTTTTTCTGGCAAATATATTTGGATCGTCGTTTTTTGGTAATGTATTATTTTCTTGTCTGTTTTCTGATATCAGTAAGTAGTAACATTAGACAGTCTCACCTGTAGAGATTACTGAGGATGTATCTGAGGCTTGCTGTCTGAATGGATAATTAGGTGTCGAGTATTTTAATTGGTGATCAGGCATATCTTTCGATGATAGTCTCTGTATGGTACTGTCCTGATTATTGCAAACTATGATATTGTTCTACACGCAATCCGCTTGATATGATCACCAATCTTTCGTACATTAAAGGACCAAGTTTATAGCGTATGAGTACAAACGCAACCTTGCATAGCAAATGTTACCGTTAGCAATAATCTTCCATGTTCACGTATCGGAATATCGATCATCCCCGAGACTACAGTGTCGTCAAGTCTTTGGTTGCCATGATCTACGTGATGCGACGTAATCGTCTGTACAAGGTCTTTTTTGGAACCGTTGTAGGCTAAGAAGTCGTCATGAGAGACTGTAACTAATTTATTGTAAGCATTCATTTGTCTTACAATGCACCAAAAACGATTCCACACTGGAACGTGCAAAAAATTGAAGTCCGTAGACGCGAGTTTTGTCAATAACACCATATTGACGGAGAGAATTGTGAGCGAAAGCAGTGATCGTAAAGGTGTAAGTGAGCGCTTAGAGCTGACACGCGCTACCTTAACACACACCTTCAGGCACCTGCGAGGCAGCGGTTATACCGTCTTCTCTCGTGTACAGCGAGGTTCGGGTGGGCGTCTTACGACTGCCCCACCGATAGATGAACGCTTGTTCCAGATGTGGCTCGGACGCGGTTTCCCGTCCTACGGCACAAACGTCACAAGTTGGCTGCAAATGAATGACCGCTTTCTATTTAATTAATGAAACAGAAATCAAATTTGCTATTGGCATACAAAAGACCAGACACGCGCTCTGAATAGACGCCATCTCTACAAAGCGCTTCAACTGTACATGAGCTTGCTGATGACGTACTTCGATGCAATCATGTAATGACGTCGAGAAGTGACGTCATCCGTGTGTGAAACAACGCTCATTGCATCATTTCCATGCGTCACAAGATGCTTCGTCTGTCTACAGAACAATCATGACCGTGTGCATGTACGCGCCTTAGGCACCTCAACTGTCAAAGTCAGACGCTCTCGCGGGTTCACAATCCCCACAGCTTGAACCTGTGTCGACGCTACTACAACAAAACCTTCCCAACCACCGACCCCAATGTAGCGCCTTGTCTCACTGCCGTCTCCAAGCCGATCGATACTAAATGCAAGTCATACGGTCCCAGCACTACGCGTATCCGTTAAGAGGATACAACCATTAGACCGCCACACGCTGCTCAATACCTACCACACTGCCCAACAATTGATGAGAAAACCGTCACGAGGGTTACAAGCTCCTTCGAGAGGAACTAGTTGCTGTAGAACTTGATAATGGCTTATTTCTTAAACTTTGTCAATGAATGTTAACTTAAAGCTACTTAATTGTCTGTAATGTTCTAGTCGTGTTTGGTGCACGGAAAAGTAAAGATGATAGTACTACTCTGTACCATTTGTTTACGAATAGATCATGCCTTTAGCTCGCAAGTGTTACACAGCCTGTACTTCTGACAAAAATATCTCTAGCGCGAAGAGCTCATTTGGAAAAGATTCATTCAATTTTGTAAGCCAATTTAACTGCAGCTACTGAATATATAACCTGTTATTTGTCCAATCATTTCTTAAGGGATTTAGTGTTTCGACGCAGTGGAGTCAAAAGGCGACAGATCTCACTCGAACAAGGGTTTCAGTCGTCTAGAAAACAGCATGACAATCTGATCAATAGTTTTAGTATTGAAAACTGCAGAAGTGGTGTAAAAAGAAGTGAGATTTTGCATAATAAATTACCGGAATGTGTCAAGAAATGGTGAAATATTGAATGATACGAGCCTATTGAAAAAAACACTCATTTTTATCGTCATTTTTATTCTTGCTTAAGGCTCAAATGAGCTATTCTTTCTAGGGAAGATAACCTTGTAGAAGCAAGCACAGATGTGATCAATAACGACGAGGGACGCGCCCCACGTAAAAATTGATCTTCTAAACATGCGGTAGCTGAAAACTGTTGTCGCCCTCTTTTTAGCTGGCAAGAGCTCACTGTCAGTATCTTAAAATAACATTTCTGTGATGATGATTTGCCACACAAACCAGACTTTAAAAAGTGTTGATTTGTAACCAGTCACACGGTCGGAGAACTGATACAAGTTGCAAAACACTATGTAACAGCGGTAGTCACTGAAGAAGAACAATGATACTGTCAAGGCCTGGATCAATCCCAGTACAATAGGCTAGGGCAATGCGGTCAGCCTTTTTTAATGAGCATCTAGCATTTCGCGATGCGACCATGTTCAGCTCCGATGAAAAATAAGCCAATCACAAGCGTGTGCCACAAGAGTGACCTACCCGAAAAGTGGCTTCGGATATGCCTACATTCTGTACCTATGTGGTGGGGACAGACTAGATACGTAGCACTTAAAACGTGCAAGCTACACCCGACGGCGTAATCTACAGACTCACACAGATAAGTACGATTTAAAAGCTCGGCACTCACCTTGCGCACACTCGCTGATAGCTTTACCCTTTGGGCTCACAACCAATGACGCATATTACCGTTGCACCAAAGGTGTTTGACTGACTCAAAAATGAATAAACGATTAATGTCCGTTGCTCGTTTGATGCAAAGAAGCAGCACGGCTCCATGAAGCTATAAACCATCTTTTGATGCCTTGTGCTCATTTAATGTCAAACTTGCGCTCGTCGAGGTGCATCTACCATCAAAATACTCCCAATGTTCTGTGCACGCATCGACTCCATTTGCAGTACAAAATGTACTCGATTATATACATGAACGCTTATCACTCGCGTCGAACTCGTTCCATCGGCTGCTTCGTGCCGTACGATGGCATCCCTAGATCCCAAAGCTTTTCACCACTGGCAGAACGATAGTCATGTATGTAAACTGAGGGGTAGATCTCGCCACACAGCAGACGCGTCGTGATACACGAGAGTCTGGCTACATACGGCATGATGACGAACCCAGCGACCAAGAGAGCAGTAGCCACCGCCATGAACGCTATGAGGTTGAGCCACCCCTCGTCAAAGTACTCGGCTCGAAAAATGGGTGAGGTGAGTGCATGAATAGGCATCGAGAGCGGGATGACTACCACCATAGCACTTAGCACACCAACGCCGAGCTTCGCCGTGCTGAAGTACAAAAGTACTGCTAGTGACGGTCGAGCGAGATATGATCCACGGTCTCCGTAGTATGGGATCTGACCGTGCAGTTTACACTCCTTGGTTTCCACAAAATTGTGTAGCTCGACGTCAAGTCGCGCGAGTAGTGGGGCCAGATATAGCAGGCCTTGGAGCATGATGACACCCAAACAGCAGAGCATCAACGAACCTAGCGAGAGCGCCACGCCAAACACAATCACGATGAAGCCAGCGCTGGCGAGAACACAGTTGAGCGAGAGAAAGATCAAGACTCGAGCACGTTGCGAGACGACTACTTTGATGTGATACGCTAGCGTGTCCACCATGACGATCAGTCGATCCAAGGTTATTGTACAGGCCGACAAGATGAGCAGTGTCAACTGCGTGGGTGTCAGCTTTGTTTTAGAGGTCAATCGGCTATTGCTGTTTGGTGATCTCAAAACAAACTGAGTACCGAGAGGATGAAGGGCTTGACGATGGCGGTGTCGCTACATCGCTCTTGAAGTTGATCGCCTACATCCACTGAAAAATTGACGGTAATCGCTGACTGCAAGACTTTCACTTGTGGTGTTGTGTTACTCGACTACCTGCTCGTCTCGTTTGACTGTCGGGATCGTCGAGTACGGCGGGTGCTAAGTACTCCACAAGGAAGATAGGAATGATGATGATGGCGTGCGCAATTGCAGGCGTTTGTTTACAGCGCAACAAGTGCATCGGAACGCATGCACTTTTTCTACACCTCCACGTGCATAGTGGGTCGTAAGTTCGGAGGATATAGAGGCAGTTGTTCGAATGGACGCACTCGATATTTGTGGATTACGCTGGACGAGTTCACTCCGTGCGTCGTGGCATCGACAACAGCGGAAAGACTGGAATTTTTCTGCATGGAAAGTTCCGACTCTCGCGTCAGCACGACAACTTCTCGACTTTTGCAACAACCTCCATGTTAGCGACAGTGGCGATTGTAGTGGCAGTGACCGGATGATGGATAGTGCTGGTCGTCAAATGAATCTTCAGCTATAGCGTGGACTAGAACTGCTCTATGAGCAAACGTGACGGCGGCTGTCGATGTCGGTAGTCAGCTTTCGACTCTCGTGTCCTCCAAATGACGCATTTTCTGCACTTGCTTTCGTTGCAACCATCCGTGAGATCGAAACGACCGTGACACATCGGAAGCTACAGGCCACGTCAAAACGTTAACACCTGATCGTATCTCTTCCGAGTTGTTAGTGACGATGGCATAAAACCTCCGGAGTCAAGTTTGTTTTGAAACGGTGTGGCTCTCGTTGAAGTACCGTGTCCTCAACGACGGAACGACAATGCAGTCAGCACAGCTCCGACAAGAAGGTCAGCCCCGCCTATCCACAAACTTCAGCACAATATACGTCATCACCAGTAGCTACATTCAAGAAACTTGAACTCAAAACGTACTCTCTCCCAACGATGTTTCTATTTTAGTTGAAGGTCTCAATCACGCCAGCACGAAATCCTATAAAGCAATTGAAAATTTGAGAAAACAAGGGACACCAGCACTTATGTGAACTCCATACCACACACGCCCCAGCGACGTGTCCATAGACAAAGCCACGATTTCTCAAACAGTAAATTCAGCACGCGGTCAGCATTCGTGTTGAGCATCGCTGGAGGTAAAGCCTCCGGGCTTTTCGAAATGTGTCCTACTTTTCCAATAGCGCTGTCCAGTGCTCTGCTGCAAACTTCATTTTCATTCACAAACGCCAACGTCCTCTGCGCTGTTTAATGTCAGTCATGGGTCATACGGAAAAGTGGTAGGCCCAAAATTTGTTCTCATGAGCCCCTTCGTCAAAGTAGATGTTGCTAGAGAAGCGCCCCGGTGTCATTTTTTATTTGCCACTGTGGCCGCTCAGCTGCAGTACTTGGCAGTGACGAGCAATCATCTACATGAGGAAACGGAAAAACTTGAAGTCGGGGGGCTCCTTTTGTTTTTTTGTGCATGTTCGATCGGAAACGATGGAGCATCGAGGATGTAAGTGTTGGATATTGACGAAGTGGCGGAGACTCTTGATAGTGACGACATCGTCTTCGATAGCGATCGTAAATTGATCGGCGAAGAGGGAGAGGAAGTTATCGACAAAAGCGGACAAGTTCTCCCCTGCTGCAATTTCACTATCCTGGTGAGCTCTCCAAATGATACTGCATAAAATGTAGCGACCAGCGACGGCCGCTGCTCGGACACTACCTTCGTGGCTGTACAGCTTGATGTCAGGAGAAGATGGTCGTTACGATCACACGATCAAGCACACTTCTGGCTGAATGTGCAAGGTCGCTATCCAGGTATGTGCCGCTTTTGCAACAACTACCCCATCATGCATCCAGCGTTTCGTATCTTTCGCATGATTTTTACAAGCTACTGCAACGAGTTAGCAGTTCAATCAAAATCAAACTAAGGATCCATTCGTGACTTCCAACCACAGTGCTGTCTTACTAAGTCACATCTGCCGCCCACCAGAGCAGGGTTGCGGGAGCCTGTGGCTGTTTGTACGTCGACGACTTGTTCTTTCGCAGCACCTCCAACAAGTGATGCGGAGAAGGCTCGATTTTTAACAGCTAATGTCCCGTGGCATCGATATGGAGAGAGATGCTGCACGTCGAGGCACCGTAAGGTACCGTAAGCTTAGATCAGCATTTAGCTGCCACAAGCAAATGAAGACTCGGGGCATGTGCCACAAAATTCAACACGGCAAACACTTTTCGGCGTCCGCTTCAGCCAAATCACAAATAGACCCTGCCTACTTCACCATTAGCAGTTTGCTTGCTACTGTTGCAGACGTTGGTAATTTTTCGCAGTTCTATTCACTTGCCAGGCTTTACAACATGTCCGCAGCCACGCGAATGGACTGAAGAAGTTGTGATGCAATTTCCTTCACAAGAATCATACTGTTCTCGTCTTGAGCCAGCGCACGCACGATCGGACGAAGTCGGTACTCGACAAGAAATTGAGTCGGGGATGTGTGTGACTCGAAGAGTAGTTTCAGCATTTTAAGCAAGTTCTTGCGCACAAGTGCCTTTGGAATGAGTTGAAGGCGTTTTAAAATCTCTTTGACGAACACGCCATTACATCCAAGTGCCGTGTTAAGCTTTACCGAGCGACTTATTATTTCCAGTAACGGCTCCAGCAAATTCTCAAATTCCGTGTTCGCAGCGTTGTGAAAACACATCATAATTTTCAGCAAGTTTTCGGAGACTAAGAGCGCTTTTTCCATTTTCATAGTATCATGCACGAGCCAAACACTAATGGCCTTGATGGCATCAACCTGCCAGTACTTATCCTCCAGCAACGTCAAGAAAAGTGCCACACTGTCATACTTCCACAGATGTGCTCGTGCAGCTGGCGACGAATGGGCCAGATCGCACAGGATTGGGAGTGCAAATTGCTTGAGCGGACTGGCATTCCGAACTACCTTGATGAGCGACGGAATCACACCAGCTTGTGCTGCCCGAGTTTGACGATTGCGATTGATCCGACAGAGATAAAACATAGACTGGAGAACAACGTTTTCGACCTCTTTTTTCTTGGCTTCTGAGACTGACGGACCTTCTGCCTCTTGTTCGTTCAGTAGACGGACAAGTGTCGAGATCGCACCGGCGCGATCCAGTTTTGCCAGTGTTGTGGGCTCCATGCTTAGATTTCGTATGCACTTCAGCAGTGTCATAATAGCCGAAACGAATTCGTCCGAGTGATTTATCAGAGGCAGTACTTGTCTGTCGTCCTTCACTTGCTTGTCTAGACCAAAACGCTGCGCCCCTGGGCGGATCACTTCCAGTAGTCCTTTTAAGACAGTACCATCACACATGTGTTCTTTCACCACGGCGTCACCCTGAGAGAATAGCACGAAAATATCACACATCTTATGGAAATCCATCATGGTCCACTCTGCTATTGATCCACCATCGTGCGCTATTGCGGTTCGGATCGTTTCCATCTTGCCGCCATCACATTCTGGTCTTCGCGTGTCTTTTGCTGACACCATCATGGCAATATCGGAAAAGACCACCACAAACTTCTTTAGTAGCCCAGCCTTTACAAAAAGCCGACAAATGTCGTTTTTTGGTATAGTCTGGATACAGAAAATACTGGATATCCCATCCAGAGCGATTCGGAGGAGAGACACGTCATGGTCGAGATTGAATGATTTCTCTTCTAGCGTTAAGAAGTCTACTAACACCGGCAACCCGCCACATGCGATAAACATCTGCAACGTCAACGAACTTGTTTTGCAACATTGTTGGACGAGTTTAGCTGCTTCCAGTCGGACTGCTTTGACAAACCCGTTCTCCTCGAGTCTTTCAGTGCAAAAGTCTTTACCGCTTTCACCGGGTAAACAGTATGGATCGCGGTGCTTCGTGAGCTTGATAATCACTGGCATCAGCCCAACCAGAGCTAAATTCTCCTGAAACCTTTTGTTACCCTCGACAATCTGCAGACACATGAAGAGCACAAAAATAAGTAACATAAGTAGATACCAACGAAATGCACTCGTACAATATTGATGACCCTGAGCACCGCGTGCAATACGTCTATCTTCTTCATTTCCAGAGCTTCCATGATGTTCGGCACAACGCTGGGCTGTGACATCAAATCTCGTCTCAGCGTCACATTCTCTTCGAATAGCTTCTCCTTTATTCCATTCATAGCATAAGTATTAGCGTGGTCGATTAGTTTCTTGCCATTACAATGTCAATTTCACAACTCACCAACTCACTGCAAGCAGCTAGGATGATTTGGTCGTCCATACTAGGATCAAGTAACGACAGCAGCTCCACCACTCGAACAGTTGCTTTGAGATTCGTGTCGGACGCAATCGCATAATCGAAATCTAACTCGTCGTCAAACAAAATTTCTCATGCACTTCCATTTGAAGATGAGTTTGCGTTGCTGTCACAATTGCCGCCAACACGCAGCATTATGTTTCCCAACTGGCCCTCGGCAATGTCAACATCTCGACCAGTAGCACCATCCTGTATCAAAGCATCAAGAGATTTCAACACGGGGACGCCAGCAGAGAGGGTGGTGGTGCTGTCCGTGGCACGCTGCTGCTTTGCAGCCGCTTGCAAAAGCTGTTTTTCATCAATGTCGTCAAGGGTAAGGTCATCTTCTGCATCTTCAACAAATTGCTGAAGCTTTGCTAGCCGGCCTTCAGCTGAAGCCAACGATAATTGATCCCAAGAGTTCATTGTGCGGTTACTGTTCTTGCTCTGATCAATACTGATACCACGGCCACAATGTCGTACATCTTGCACCGTCGATTTTGCCGACAAAGCTGCAAATTCGTTCTGTTCATCGTTCCAAACATTGTCACTAAACAAGGCGTTCGCGTCTTCTTTAGACAACTGAAACGATAGCTCGGTCGATGGAGTTACACGGACTATCGGATTCGGCCTGCAGCCTTCTATCCCGTCACGCTCTTCACCGTTCACAACCGGTGCAGATTTTGAATGCATACCAAACTCATCGTCCCAATCCTCAACATCTTCTTCGGGCAACTCGTTTATGATACTCACGGAACGCCCGGGTTTGCCCGTCACCATTGGTAACATGCCTGTTGAAGACGAGCTCTTTTCGTACAGTTTAATAGTTTTAAGCACTGCATCTCGATCATTGAGAGATGTAACATTCTTTGCAACGAGCTGCGTACTTTGCTCCACCTTGTTCTTTGGAATTTGCGCAATCCAAGGATGCGCTAAAAGCTCGTCTGCCGATGCTCGTAGTCGAGGCTCTTTCATGAAGCACTTCATGATAAAGTCGTGTAAAGCCTGTTGTAACAATATGCGTATGCCGGTGGCCAAAGAAATCAAACACTTGCAAAAAAAAACAAGCCAGCTCATCTCTTTTCTGCACAATCCTTACCGGTGACATGCGCTGTGGAAGCGGTGGGTGATCCTCTTGCACAATGCGGAATAGCGCAGCCATGGGTGCCAAGTCAAAATACGGTGGCTTGGTCGTCAACAGCTCGATAATTGTGCAGCCCACACTCCAGATATCGGAGGCGGACGACCAGCCTGCCATTTCAATGACCTCCGGGGCCACTAGAAGGCAGAATCCATCAGACGATGAGGAACTAGAATTACAGCCAAAACAATGTTCCACCATAGTACAAATACATACTCCAATACGGCGATCCCACTACGGAATTTGCCTTCTGCGTTTCGCTCAGTTTTATAGCCACCCCGAAATCCGCGAGCTTCACCAATCCGTCTTTCGTCGTGAGGATGTTCGCCCCTTTGACGTCTCGATGTAGCACGCCTTGCTCGTGCAAGTACGCGAGTCCCCTCAACACTTGCGTGATGTACATGGCCACGAGCGTCTCGGACAAGAACCGAAATTTCTTGACAAACTGTGCCAACGAACCGTTTTCCATGTACTCGAGCACAATGTACAGATACCCATCGGTCTTGATTGTATCGTGGTATTTAACGATGTTTTCATGCTTGAGCTTGCGTAGCAAACTGATTTCCGTCTGGATTAGTGACAGCACAGAGAGGAGCGATAGTCATAGAAGAAACAGCAACATAAGAACAACATAGCAGGCCACAGTCTTAGAGATTAGTTTTAGCAAGAGCCCATGTTACAGCATAACCCCAATCAGACAGTCCGTCAGTCAGTCAGTCAGTTCATTAAGTAACCTCAATAGCCAAGAGCTCGTCCTTGTCAATGTCTCGCAAAGACACTTGTTTAATGGCCACCGAGCGTCCGTTGCGCAGATCCAGCGCTCCATAGACAACGCCAAAGCCGCCACGTCCGATTTCGGCCCCTAATTGCTACCAGTAGTAATCAGATTAGAGAGACCTCGAAGCAAAGTGATACTAATTGCCCGAAAGAGAAGCTTACGTAGTGCGTGCCCACGAGCCGCATTTGCTCCTCCTTTTTGCCCCCATGAGTAGTAAAGGCCATACTGCTGTAGTAACTACACCTCGCTATTGCGTCGACCGCCGCTTGAACGAAATAAGCAGGTGTTTCTGGAACTGCTCCTACCACTCTATTCAGTATTTGCGCTGCCCATGGAAAGTAGATACTCTGGTTTAGTGACAGTTATACCGTCTTTGTGCCCGAGCAGTCGGACTGCTACCTTTCATTAGTGACGTACGTGCATCTTGATATTACGCCACTTTTCGACGTTATTCACAAGTATTTGGGACCCGTGCAACGTGAATTCGTATCATTTTTAGTGCTGGGGTACTTCAAATACGCGAGTTTCTATGTCAAACATTTGGCCTGATATGTGGTCGGCGCGACTTTTGACTCACTTTAACAGCCTAAATGTAGGAAAGCGTAACGCATACACTCCGCGACAGGTAATATCGCAATCCCATACTTTTATCCACTGCTCATCTAGCTTGTCTAGATAGAAACACCGTGTTTATGTTAACGATTGCGATTTCGCAAAGCGTGAGGGGCCGCACATATAAACTTACTGGTTTTGCTACTGCGACAGGTAAAATCGTACAAAACAGCAAACACATTTAAAGTATCAAATGAACAAATAAAGACTTGTTGTATTTAATCGTGGGTTTTATCGCCCTTCTTCTCGATGACCCCAATGCATCGTCGCGGCATCGAGCGAGCAACGAGCAAGCGACACAAGTGTAGCATCCGTGATTGCATTCCAAGTTGCAATTGGCACAGCCTTTAGCTCAGACACGCGCTCGAACTGTGTTCCATTGGCGTACACTTGCCTGCTAATGATATATCACAAGTTCTCGATGGGGTTGCGATCAGGTGACCTTAATGGCCAGTCAAGCACCTATATCTCCTCTTACTAAAGAACTCGCCGCTACGATGTAGAACGTTACGCTTGCGTTGTCCTGTTGGAAAACTAAATCCGTTCCATAGTTTAGATGAGCAACCGGTAGAAGATATTCTGACAACTGATGTAAACATTATCATCCGAATTCTTCCTTCCTGTCAGCACCACAAGAGGAGGCTTGCCACGGGCTCTTAAAGCGGCCCAAACCATGATGGACCTAGCTTGTCGTCGGATAGTCTGGCGGACGGACCGGCGCAGATCTCTCCAGTAGTGCTGAAGCCGTCGGGCCCGTCAAGGTTTCATTTTTTCTCGTCCGAGAAATTAATGGAGCATTAGAAGGATACGGCATATTCATGCAGCAGCATGTCTTTGGCCCAGGATTTGCGCGCACCCATGTCCTCGACCGTGATAGGAAATGTGTTTTCCATTTTGGCGTACACAAGCCAATCGACGTCGGCCAAAATGCGCTGCACTGTGCGGACGAACACCGGCAGGCTGAGCAGCGGACAGATTTTCTGTGCGGAGGCGCACAAGAGAAGTCGAACGCGGCGCTTCGAGACAAGCAGAGCGGGTCCTTGACATTTTATCTGTAGGTAAGAAGTAGTGCATACCACTTGACGTATAGTGCCAAGGCTCCTCGAGGTAACAGTCTTGATGGCCAGCAAGCTCAGGACAGCCTCTCAAAGCCCAATATCCTTCCCCGCTCGTGGTCGATAAGTCTTGGCTTCTTGTTGCCATTTCCATCATTAAGCGCCGCTGACATCGTGTCGCGAAATAGCAAGTGTTGCTAATACCGACATAATTATACAATTATTATGTTATATTATGCTTCAAATCTGATTGCTATATTAGTGCGATTTTACCCGTCGCAGTAGCAAAACCAGTAATTTGTATGTGAGGCCCTTTTGCTTTGCGAATTCTCAATCATTAACACACATACGGTGTTTCTATCCGTAAAAACACCTCACATATTTAAAGATGGATCTTAAAAAAACAAGCAACTCGCCTTAAAACATAAGTGGATAGACTGCAGGCGTGGGAAGGGCCACACACATGTGGAATAGAAAGGGCATGCAGCTAAACTAGAAACTAATAGATAATTAGAAAAGCTATAAATAACTGTTCTAAATGAAATTGTAGCAATAGCCGAGCGAAGTATACCAGTACGAGCGCGAAGAGTCGCAGCCCACGACAAGTTTAATAGCCATTTTGCCGGAGTGAGCTTCCGTACAACGACGAAGGCAGCTAAAAATGTGACCAGTGATGCTGCGGTGGATAAGAAGTCTACAGACTGGAAACCCCAGCAAAAACTGGAAGACACGGACGCCGAAGGAGTAGCTGCTGCCGATCGAACTAATTCCACTCACACCTGTTGAAAGTAACTATGCAAGCCGGTGAGAGTACGGAGCGCAGGTATACCTGAGTTCAGACGTCATGAAGCAGTGGGAGAAGAATTTTAAAAGGCGAAATGCGAGAAAAACCCGGTGCCTCATCTGAAAAGGTTCGTTACCAGAAAGGAGCATCGAGAACGAGCTCGACACGATCCATACCGTCTTGGTTAGAATGGCGAACGATTAAGAAAATGAATCACTGTGAAACCCCACACGATTAGGGTGCAGCGTGGCATACGCCAAGTGGGAAATTAACGCAACCAGAAAGTGTATCAATGGGTTGGCGCAAGGAGGCAGCAATGAAGAATATCTGACGAAGGATTTTTTGTATAAATGGAAGCAGTAGCGAAAAGTAGTTGCCGAAATCCGGTACACGGCAGTGAGTGTTGCAAAGAAGCGCCTCGGCCAGAAAGTGGGTACAAAACGGTACGTTTAAACGATTAGTAATGTGCGAAGAGGCTGTTACTGATTCGCGACTGTACGATTAGATATGCGCGAAGTGGAGATTAGTAATGCGCAACTGCATAATTAGTGATGCACGAAGTGGCGATTTTTAACGCGCAACTGTACAATTAGTGATGAGCAACATAGCGATTACTAATGTGCAGTTGAACAATCCAGTAGGCTTAGAGAAGCAAAAGAGTTTGCGAACAAAGGATCTAAAATTATGCACTCTGCATTACACCATCTAGTGCTGAACTACCTTTGTATATATAATCCAGGTATCAAAAATTATTATATTCGATTTCGGCAGAAGAAGTTACAGCTAAAGATGACTCGAAAAGGCATTCGCGTGTTCGCACTTAGACCAGTTCCGGCCGGTATGTATATATACCAGTATTGGGATGTCTATGAGCATGTTGTAGCAACTGATTCAGAGTATACGATTGAACTGCATGAGCAAGATTTCAACGGTCGAGAAGGTTCCTGAGCGCCGAAAAGTGCGGATTTAAAGCTCGATTTGTGGCTCATGCCTGCCGTCCGAATACGACACGCCAGGAGGTGCGAGGGAGGCGTCACCGTTGTGATGTTGGTGATGTCACTAAGTCACATCCAGAAGGATGGAGTAAATTACCGTAGACCACACCTTGAAAGAATACGGAGAATTTTGGTTCCACTGCCAGTGTAGATTGCACAAGGAAAGAGAACCAAGAGGTGATCTGGCAGTCGAGAATCAAGATTGAAGCCAAGCAGGCGATGCAGTAGGTATGGAGAAAATTTCTGGGCGGCAGCTAATTCAACGTGAGTGATGATGTATCTGTAAAAAAAGGTACTTGAGACCAAGAAGACTCACGCATTTTGCTTTTTAGGAACGGGTTTCAAAGGGAAGGTCCTTGGAAGCAAGGATGTCAAGATATAGCGAAGCGGCTGCTGTTATATAGGTATGTAGAGAGTTGTACGCACAAATCAAGTATTTTTGGAGGCGATTCACACTCTTGTAGGCTATCCACTGATTTTTGCGAATATCAATTTGTTGTATTAGGTGAGTTGCTCAATTTTTTTAAGGATCCTCCATTCTTAATTAGCACCCTCTAATTTGTAAAACTAACTGAGCAGTGAATAATAGTATAAGTGTATGGTAATACCTGGCGAGGAGTGTAGCTGCAGCACTGCACCACGTGCTATCCAGCTAAACTATCATGTCTACAAAAATAATGGCAATACTTTACGAGCTACCTTTTGCATCTTCTGAGCCACGGTAGCTCCTTCAGCTCGGATTTGATTTTTGGTACTCAACTTAAATAAGGCTATGCGGAAGCATATGCTTTTACAATTACCTTCTGTTGAGTGAATACCAGTCACTTCGGATGATTTTGACGTACAGATGCTGCTATATGCCAGACAAGAACCGTTCCTTTCGTCTTCTTACGAGAATTAAATTTATTCGAAAGGTGCAAAATAATCTGGTGTAACACATGATGAGGTTGTATAGGCATGTTGCGGATCCAATCTGCAGAGCAGTAAGCTGCGATCTGACTTCGTTATGTCAAGGAGCAAGTGACAGCAGAATACGTATTCAGCTGCATACTTCGTAATTAGTCATTCTTACGCAAGGTAAAACGTAAGTGACGCGCTACCACTTCATTCTAGAGTTAAGGATTACAGTATCCGTATTAGCCGCTAGACTACGTTATTTTTTCAAAAGTATGGACTTATACTGCTTATCGAAAAATTGCTGAACATCAATTGCTAGTTCTGCTTACCATTTTTATTCTTAATCCATAAGATTGGTACGTAGCCAAAGGATGGTGTGCAATGGGATGAAAGCGTGATAAAGTCGAGCGATGGCAGATTGGAGGAGCTAGGCTAATCTTTCGAAAGGTGTTGGCTCGAGAGACAGAATGTGAAGTGAATACATACAAATCCTTAGTTTGCAATCTGTCTTTTCTATTTCAATCCTACTAAATTCTTGCGACTGAAAACATTCGATGTTGCTGTATTTCTGATTACCAATCGTCGAGTCGAACAATAGTAATTGCTTCATTGCACATTACAAATCGTCCAGTCGACCAGTACTAATCGTCTAGTCGTGAGTTCTATCGTCTGTACCTACATTACATTCGGGGATTGCGTTACAAGGTGCTTTATCGGCACAATTACCACTACAGCTGTAACGTTGTAACAACGCTAGTGTGGCACGCACATGATAGATCAGTTCTACTGGTAGGCGTGTTATTGTTTCACAAAAGCTGGCGGTAGTACAGTAACTTATCCATTACGAGTATATGGTATATAAATCTTAAAAGGGATCTATAAAGCACCTCGTAGTTCTTGTGTGGCAACACAGAAGAACCCACATTAGAGCTCCTAGATTATGTAGCAGGGTTCCAAGGAGGAATACGTAACTTGAGATTTGTTTTCGCTAAAGAGCAGTTTATACAATCAGTTCCCATTTTGATCACATCAAATACACGTGTCCTGCTCAGACGTCTTTGCT